CATACAGGATTGAGTGAGGGACTCCATCCCTAGTGGGTTCTCTGGCAGGGCTCTGTTGACAGATTTTTTATGTCATGGTTTTCCTTCTGGAAAAGGAGAAGGATGGGGCTACATGGAGCTTGGTTGGCAGAGTGCTTGCCTACCAAGCAGGAAGCCCTGGGTTCAATCCTCTGTACCACATAAACCTAGCTTGGTGGTGCATGTCTGTATTTGGGGAGTGGGGGGTGAAAGCAGGAGGATTGTAAGTTCAAAGCCATCCTTGGCTATATGTGGAGTTCAAAGCTAGCCTGAGCTACACATAACCTTGCCTCAAAAGGTGGAGCTGATACTTTAACGTGAGCACAACTCTACAAAAGGTGTAGAGCTGTAGTACGTAGGACATGCTCCAAGCTGGGCATGTGCCGATGGAGAACTCAGGAGCTTTCCGGAAGGCAGGAGGCAGACCACCGTAGGATTCCATGGAAAGTTGTCAAAGACTATTAAGACCCTTCTCACTGGCTTCCCAATGCTAGGGCATGAGGGCTGTCACCTCACAGGCTCCTGGGGTGCTGACAGAGCATCTGAATTCAGGAGCAAGCCAGTCTCCTAGAATGAGTCACGGGGCTTGCACACAGGATCTAACAAGCCAACAGCCACTTCTTGCCAATCAGACCTGGGCCGTCAGGGGCGGAGAGCAGCAGTCAGCTGGGATTTGCCACCAGCAAGAGTCTGAGCTGCGCGGACAGAGAACACCCCTGCGAGCAAGTTCACCAGACGCTTAAGCAGAACTTTCAGGCAATAACTGACTGAGCGGCGCACCACTTGCAGGCTGCATGAGAGGGAGACCCTGCCTGACCTGGCTGCACCCTGCATGCATTCTTCCTGTTGAAACCCCAGAGATTGCCTGGAGAGTTGAGAGAGCCCCAAAGGAAAGTGAAAGAGAAGGCGAGAATCCTGCCTGCCGAGAGTGGTGTCAGAGTTGGACTTTGTCAGTGAGCTATGCACTCAGAAGGTCCGTCAGGGAACCCAGCATTTTCTCCAGATAACATTGGGGTAGGGGGTCAGGATAGAAAGACCTGAGCTGCAGAGCAGTTGCCGCTATTGAGATGACTGAAAATGAATGAAGTTGGGGGTGTGGGGAAGGGAGATGAGGAGAAACGAGAGAAGAAAGAAAAGAGAAAAGAGAAGACAGGAGAAGCAAGAGAGGAAAAATAAAAATATGCAGGAGAGAGAGAGAGAGAGAGAGAGAGAGAGAGAGAGAGAGAGAGAGAGCGCAGATTGGACTAGGGAAAAGTTATAGCAGCGTGAGATGAACTGAAACCAGCATGTTCATATTAAAATCTGTAACCCACCAAAAGAAGCAGAGAGGAAGCAGGTGTTTCTCTCTCCAAGCACACTCACATTCTGTTTTTAAAGTCTTCCAATTTCCTCCCCCTTTCCCAGGTCAAACTAACTGTTTTGCTTGGTTAGCTGACATTTATTTTAAAAGAAAAAAACAACAAACCAACCACCCCACAACTCCCGCAAAAGTGGAGGATTAGTGTAGGAGCAGGAGTCCCATCTTCCGAATTCCCAGCCCTGTTAGCAGCTAGCTTCCTTCCCGACCAAACCCAAAGTTGGGAGAACTATAATTACTCTGAACAAATGCATATTTGTGGCTGCCAGAGAGCCTGCAATAATACATAAACAGCATCTCGTTTTAAACGGAAAACAAGCTGGAAACATCAGAGGGAAACTGTTACAAGACTTCGGTTTTGTTTGTTTTGTATTGTTTGTTTGTTTGTTTTGTTAAATCCCAAGAGTCTTACTTGGAGGGAGCTCTTCCCTTTGCTGAATGGAAATCACAGGGTCCTGGAGCCGGGGAACTGCAAAGCTCCCGCAGCCTCTCTCCAGCGCTGTCCTCCTGCTGTGATCCTGTTTACTTGCAAAGCATTCAAAAACACACTTCGGAGAAGAACTCTGGGTTTTCCTGAAGATCTGCCACACAGAACCAGCGGTCCAGCCTGGGATCCAGGGCGACTTTGCGGAGACCTGGGAGCCCGGGGCTGAGGCTCTGTGGTTGCTCCGAGCTTGTAAATACAGGCGCTATGGACAAAGTCCCAGATGACATCACTGGGAACTGCTTACTGTTGAGTCTTTATTAACTGACTGTCAAAAAGAAAGGAGGGGGCGGGGAGGCAAGAGGATCCCTTCTGCAGTGAATTCGGTGTCTGGGAATGGATTCCTGTGATAAGTGCGTGTGGTGACCCCCGCGGAGTCAAGTTGGCCCGAGCTTGTCTTCTCTCTGGTCTGAAAAAGTGAGAGAGAGTCCTCTCTCCCGCGGACGCTGAATGGGTTGCAAAAGCAGGAGCTTGGGGGACAGTTTGAAACGCAAGGCTGCCACCTGCTCCAACCCCTCTGCATGACTGGATAATTCACAAGTACGTGGGGATTAGCCAGGTCTTGAGTTTCCCTGCCAGTCTTTCCACGAGCTCCCTACCTGGCTAACGTTTCTTCCAAGCGGATTGTCTTGATTTGCAACTTTCTGCGAAACTGAGACTGAAGTTTTCTCAACTTAGAATGAAAAAAGCGCTCCCAGAAATTTCAGGGTGAAATTTTGTATGCATTTGCAAAAAAAAAAAATGTGATTTGTTTGTTTGTTTCCTGGACAGAATGCTGGAAGGGTTTCTCTGATTCTCAACATTGTAATGACCTGCTTGCGTGGTGTACTTCCACTAACACGAATAAAATAAAAAGAAAATTAAAGTTAAATAGAATACAATTAAAACTAAACATTTAAATGAAATTTTACAAGTAAAATAAAAAAATATAGTAAAGTGGCCAGCTAGGTGGCTCAGCAGGGAAGGAGAGGTTCTTGTTGCTTAAGCCTGATAACCTGAGAAGTGACTCCACACAGCTGTCATCTGACAGTGGCATGTGTGCGCACACACATACATTATTATATAAGGTAAAATATACTGCTACATATCACTACAGACCTGTAAATTCCACTTCCTTTCAACCATGGAAATAGAAGTAAGTCTCTGTTAGCTTGTTCTTGTGGCTTTCCCAAGTAGCTTCCCACCACTCCCAGCCTCCACCTAGAGATGGTCCCCACATCCAACCTGAGTCCCTATTGTGATGCCCCAAAGCCTAGCCTTCCTCCCTTGGCCTGTTGCAATGAGGTCCACTATTTATATGTATTAGATGCTTTTTATATACTTGTATTTTTAGTTTGTTTTTTTGCCATCTGTGTGCTTGTCTCCCCAACCCACTTTGAAATGTCACTAAGAGCAGCGGCTGTCTTGTGAGTGCTGTTTATTTGTTTATGCCCAGTCAGGGCTAGAGGGAATCCTGACCAGAATGCAGAGGGGAGGTCTCTAAGGGTGGAGACAGGAAGGAGGGCAGCAGGTCCCAGGGGATAGGGGTCTATGTTTAGACTAAGCATTCTCCCTGCCTTGGAAAACAATGACCTCACATCTAGCTCCCTGATTCCAGTCAATGCTTCCACTTCTGAAACTTATTTTCTCCAAGAATAGCAACTGACTATTGATTTGGTGGGGTCTCAAAACCCTCAAATCAGGCACTTTCATATAGGAATCAAATATAATGTGTCTCATCTGTCTCCAGAAGATCTTTAATACAATGTTAACAGATAGGATTACCTACAAAGAGCTGGGGATATAGTCCGTTGGTAGAGTGCTTGCCTAACACGCATGAGGCCCTGGCTTTGCTCCCCAGCACTGTACATAAACCTAGCCCACAAGTGCATACCTGTGATCCCCGAGCTCTGCCAGCAGAGGCAAAGGAATCAGAAGTTCAAGTTCATCTTTGGCTGCACAGTGAGTTGAGCTCTGCCTGGGCTGTATTAGACCTTATCACCAAATTAAGTGATTAAAATGTTCAATCAGTTTCAAAAGAACCAAAGAATGTAAACTCATAAACCCAACAATTCTACTTCTCCACAGTGAACCTGCAAATATGCTCACAAGATGCAGTAACATACAAGCACAAGCATGTTCTCTGGGTTGTTTAAAGCCCAATAAAGTAAAAATAAGTGTGCATGCCTGAATGGGAGAAGAGGCAGCCTAAGGACACTGTGCTACAGGGACAGAGGTCAGTGGCTGCCTGCAGAGCGAGCATGGGAGAGCGCAGCAGAGAACTTGGTACCAGACTCAAGAAACAATGCACATTCTTAACAATGGCCGCTCACTCATGGGAAGAGAAGACAGACAGTTTTTACTCCTGTTTGTACAGTGTGACCTCCTCCAGTCAGACACCACATCCATTCGTGTTATTATGAATGATTTTTACGCCTTTTGAGCTTTTCTTATTTTACTTCTGACGTGATAATATAATAAAATCACGAGGGCTGGTGAGACAGATCTGCAGGTAAAAATGTTTACCCCCAAAGCCTTGGACAGTCTGAGTTCCATGCTCAGGGCTCACATGGTGGAAAGGGAGAACTGACTCTGGCAAGTTGTCCTCTGATTTCTAGACATGTGCTCTAGTACGGGTGTGTGCTTGTGAACATATGTGTACACACACAGATATACAGTAAATAAATGAATAAATAAGAGTGAAAAGGTTTTAACTATGGTACAATTTCTAGAGTGCATCTCAAGAAAACCTACAGCTGTTTTATTACCAAATATCTGGCATTCAGGTGAGCAGTGAAGGCCTGGGCGGGGCTGGGCAGAGGCTTTGCACGTCAAAGCTCTTGCCATGGAAGGGTGAAACCCTGTGTTTGGATCCCTAGAATCCACACAAACCCAGATGAGGTAGCACACACCTGTAATCCCAGACTTGGCAAGATAGGATGGAACTCCCAAAGTCTAGTGGGCCAGTTAGCTCGGCATAGGCAATGAGAGACCCTGCCTCAAACAATGAAGATGGGGAGATTGATACCTTAGGAAATCTTGTGATCTCCATATGCACTTCATGGTATTTGTGCCAGTGCGCACGCGCGTACACACACACACACACACACACACACAGGAGAATTTTTTTTTTTTAAAAAAAAGGAAAAGCTGCTAAACTGCTAGGTTCTAAGTATTCCTTTTTGATTCAAAGGCCCACTATTTCCCATTACACTTAAGAACTAATTTGGCAGCCCTGAGGACTCCTTCCATCTTACAAAAGGATTGGAAAGACATTTGATTTGGCTGACTGGTTGCTGGTGAGCTGGACAGGCCAATGAGAGAAAACGTGTCTGACCTCCTGGCCATGGCTCCTCTAACATGATGGAGCCTCCAGACAGAGGGTGAAAAAGCCAAACCTCAGGGAGTCTTTAGACAGCTGGGCTGGGAAGATGGCTCAGAGGGCTTTTATCAAGAAGGATCTCAGCACTTTGTCAGTGGCCTAGAGCAGGGATGTGGAGCCCAAGTCTGTCTATTCGCTATGCTGTTGGAGGTTCTAGAATGTACTCAGCGACGTCAAAGCTTGATGAGAAACTATGTTTTTCAATATGGCAGCGGGGAGAGCCCAAGAAAAAGAATAGCTGGAAATTTCCACAAAGGTAAGATAGGGTTCTGGGTGCTATTTCCTGTCTTATAGGGAAAGCATACTGAAACTATATTCTATTATACAGTGAGGAGTTATCTCAGGTCTGCAGTGCTTTTAATAGCATTAGGAAGGGAAGGAGAGAGGGAGGGAGGGAGAAAGGGAGGGAGAGAGGGAGAAAGGGAGGAACGGACGGACGGAGGGAGGGAGGGGGAAAATATTTCGTTCATGTTCTTATTTTTTATTGAAAAAAGAAGGTGTGTTATAGATGTGTGTGTTGTAGGTCTGTGTCTACACATATGCCCAGATGATTATGCTTATACAACTTACTTATTGGTTATCATTTGTTAAAGAAAGTGTCTCACTATGTAACCCTAGCTGGCCTGGAACTCACTATGTAGACCAGGCTGAACTCAAACTCATAGAAATAAACATGACTTTTCCTCCTGAGTGCTGGGATTAAAGGTCTGTGCCACTATGCCTGGTAATGCTTACATGATTTTATGTGTGTGTATGCAGAACACAAAGGAGTATGGCCAATGCTCTCCTCCCTCTTCTATTGCTCCCTGCCTTATTTCTTTGAGACAAGGTCATTCAATGAACCTGCAGCTCGTCATTTTTGTCTAGGCCGATTGGGCAGCAAACTCTAGCACCCCTCCTGTTATACTGCACCCCCACAGCAGAGCTGGCATCACGGAAACACACAGCCACACCGCACCGCTAGCACTCTTCCCCACTGAGACATCTCTCCAGCCCCTGTGTTCTCATTTTTTTATGGTCTGCCTAGGACATAACTTTAGTCTAGATCCTGTTTAAATGAACATGTGGAGTCATCTGGGTGTTCTGTGAGTCAGACTTTCCCAAACAAGAGATAAATAGAAATAGACAACCTGACTTACAACTTGGTATTAAAACCAGCTAAGGAGAAGGTTAGGGTGTATGGGAGTCATGTTTCCTCCCCTCCTATGTTAGTCAGGGGACCACTCATGTTGCAGAATCACCTTCACCTGTAGAGAGCCTTGGATGACCCTCTGCTCCTGCAGCCCAGGCCCCCCTCAGGGGATTTCTTCTCTCCTCCCAGGCCTGCACTCCATGTGAAGGGCTACTAGACCTAAGATGACAGGAAGATCCAGCTTTTCATGTCCTTTGTGACATCTTACACTGCTACCTTTGCATGGGAATGTTTTGTATTCAACTGGAAATTTTCTAAAAATCAAAGATGGTATGAAAAATAACCAAAGATTCCCATGCTGCCTCCTGGTGATACATTCCTCCTTCGAGAGACCTTCAAGGATCTTCTCTGCAGGTTCCGCTTCTACCTCCAGATCCTCCTTTACACCTTGATTCCCTTACAGTGGCCATCTCTCAAGCATTTCTGTACACATTTATTCGAGGACCAGATCTGATTTACCCTAAAATAACTCAGTGTATCACACACTATCTTCATCACAGCAGAGGAAACCGAGGCCAGTGAGATGCACTATTAAAATACTCTGACTACGGCCAGACTAGTAGCCAGCTAAAGATCCCAGCACTACAAAGTGTCCCTCAGGGTCCTACGGTGCCTAGATCCTTCTCAGAAGCCTAGATCCCTCCATATCCCAGGGAGACTAGATCCCTACAGTCCTAAAGAGCCCTGATACCCTTGACTTTAGGAATCTGGATCCCTCAAGTGTCCTGAGTGGCTTAGAGCCTTCGGTGACCTATGGGATCTATATCCCACAGTAGTCCCAGGAGCCTAGATCCCTCTGCCTCCCAAGTAACCTAGATCTTTCAGTGACCTGTGGAATCTATATTTCTCCTTATCTGGAGGAAACCAGATCACCTATGTCCCAAGGAGTCTGGATCCCTCTGTGTTCTGCCGTAGGCTAGATTTCTCATTGTTCCAAGGAGACTAGATCCTTTAGTGTCTGCAGGAGTCCAGATCCCTCTGATTATAAACATTGAAGATAAAACGCTATGCCAGCATGAATCATAAAGCCGCAGAAGTAGAAGGCTGTGCCAAACACAGAATACCGAACCCTAGTCCTGTATGCACACATGTGGTAGTGGACATTCAACAAAGCTTCAGATTTCATTCCAAAGGAACGCAACCTCTGTTCCTACGAGGAACCCGGTCTTGCCACTCACTTCCTCCGAAAAGAGATGTGCTGCGGCCTCAGAGTTGAGTTCACACAGCATGCCGTGTAGACCTCAGGACACTCCCAGAGCACCCAGTGGAGTGAGAATTTGGTGCCTTCTGCGATGGACAACCTCCAGTTGAGGGAGGAAAACGATTGCAGAACACGAGTTTAAATCTGTTTCCCACCTGCTTTCTTGTAGTGCTGGTATTCCCCTGCTTCAGTACACATTTCTCCAGACTCTCACAGTCCTACTAGAGGCTTAAGGGACAGCCTATGACCTGCCAATCTGTCTTGTATGTCAATGTGATCAGAAATAGGAAGCAAAGCAGGCTATAAATTGTGGCCTAGAAACACCAAGGAAAGAGGCATGCTTTGGAGAAAGCAAGACTCCGGGGGCTTTGAGAATCTTCAGATGAGCACCCAGCTTCCCCTCATGCTCATGAGGCTCCTGGGTCACATCTGGAGAAGCACGGGTTACAAACACGGAAACAAATACACGACTTTTTAGTCTATAATCAGACCAGGATAAAATAGAACCAACTAGAGGCAGGCAGGTTCCCTAGGAAGGGGCCCTGTAATCAGTTCATCTCCTGGCACCTATTCCCCACTACAGATCATCTCTAACACAAAGTGGGTGCACAAGATACAACTTGGAACAGCCGAGACAAGTGCGCCAGCAATGGCTCCAAGCATAGCTGGAGAAAGGTAGCCTCAGGCGCCAGTGACCGCAGGTGTTATGGTGGCCCACATTCCTAAATCAAACTAAAACAAGAGCAATCCCTAAAGCAAAGGTAAGGAGGCCGGCTAAACTCAGATTGCTCACACAATGATGCTCACACATCAGGCTTACTCTTGGAAGAATGGAGGCTGCTTGCTGGTGTCCTCTGTGCATTACGGTGTCTATTTATCGCGTTGGTGATATAACAGGGCACTTAGGACATTTGGGGAGAGGACCGATAAGGTTGGAGAAATGTAAAATGCAACCTTTGAGAATCTGCTTAGGTTCTAATGTTTCTTTTAAGAAAAAGAGTTATTGCTTGTTAGTAGTCAATGGCCTTCTCTTCTGGTATGGGGCTTCAGGTATAGCCCAGATTGGCACAGCAAGGGTTAATGCTTGCTCCAAGGCTGGAAGGCTCTTGATGAAAGGGCCCTATGTAGTATAAAGTATCACTGTGAACTTGAAGGATTTTATTTCAGCCCTCTCATTGTGTTGTTGACAGTGCATACTGTGAGTTTGACATTTTTAACTACTTTGCTCGCCCCAAATAAAAAGGGCTGGGAAAGAGGAGGTGGGAAAGAAGAAGGGGCTGGGGGGAGGGGGCCATCCTCGTCCCTTAACCAGGATTTCACACAGATGCCACGCATGGCGGTGGCCAGCGATTCAGCCAGAGGCCGACAGGGCTACTTCAAGGGTTTGTTATAAATGCATTAAGCTAAGAGATGAGAGTCGCCTGTCTTTTACCCTGAGAACACAATCTACCTGGAACCAGAACCCAAGGGAGGCCACCAGGGCTCTGCTGGGGTGGAAAATGAGAAAGCAACCGATCTGTGGCCCGTGATTGTCTAAAGGAAAAAGCGCTGAGTCTGATTCTCACCAGATAGGGACAGGTCATTACGAATCAGCTGAGTTTCACTAAGGAAGAGGGTGGGGGCAGCTGCTGACCTTTCCCTGGGAGAGACCCGGCCTATTGTGTGACTAGCGCCTTCAAGTAACGCCTGGCCTGAATAGCACTGACAGTTTGTCCCCCACAGTTCCTGAAGCTCGCTGAGGCTCAGGGGCCTAACTGCCTCCACCCCCACCCACTCACAATAGCCCCTGATAGACAGAAATAGGAGAGAATTCCTCAAAGACACTCTGGAAGCAGACAGGGCCACGCTGGAGACCCAGGAGTCAGCCTCCCTGCCTACATTTACCCAAATGGCCAGCAAAGTCCTGGACCTCTTAGCCAGGCCTTGGCTTTGCCTTTTCAAGTCCACAAAGCTTCTCAAGTTAGAGGACAAAGGTGCAGGGGGAGGGGAGGGCAGGTCAGGGGCTGCTGGGGATGGTGCAAGAGGAGGGCTTGGCTCTTTTTCTTCTTCTCTCTCTCTCTCTCTTTTTTTTTAGAAGCATGCATGTGTCCCCCTTACACACACAGACGAACAGACAGGGACACACAGAAACATGCACACAAACCCATACTTGTGTATACACACTCAGGTAGACACACACACACACAGGAATAGAGACACAAGCAGACATAAATACACAAATACAGAGACAGAAAGACATACAAAAAGACAGACATATATCCACAGACAGCACAGACACATGTACAAATATACACAGAATGCATATACACGCACACAGATACAGAGACGAACGAGCTCCTCTTATCTAGTTATGAGTCACTTTAATATCCAAAAATCTCCTTACATTCATGAAGAATACCCCTCCTATGTGGAAGTGTGTTCTTAAAGGACCCTTGCAGAAAGATCTTCTTATAGAGCAGAGAGACACACGCAGCCCTTCACAGTCTGCCTCCAATCAACAATCCCTGGAATAGCAA